CAGGGGGCTGGCCCATACGCCTCGCCAGAGCCCGCGCACGCCCCGCCCACAGTCTCAGCTGCCGCTCAGCGCGCACGCGCGCTCTTCACCACCGAGCCCGCGGCGCCGAGGCCGCCAAAGCCTACAGCGCCCCCTGTCGGTCAGGGGCCTCCTGCCAACCAACAGGCAAGTACCCGGGCTCCCTTCCCGCGCTGCATACCTGGCGCAGCCGCCCACTGCGCGGTTCTCTTGCGGAGTCGGCTTCCTCCCAGTCTGTCCAGTCCATTAGTCCTGGCACCGCAATCGCTCTCACCCAGAACCCCAGCTACCACCCGCACACAGTTCATACACACTTTCTGTGCCCTTCGCCCGGCTAAACGATCTCCAGCACCGTGACTCCGAGGCCCCTTCCCCCACCTCGGGTCTCGAATCTCACACTTTGACTAGCCTAGTCCCTCCGACACACAGAGGCCCTCGACGTTCCTGCCCCGGTGCCTTCTAAGTATTTTGGGATCCGAGACGCCTTTGAAACTTCCACGGGTCGTCTCCTCCAGGAAACGGCCTATGCCAGCTAAAACACCGTGGGACAGCTCTCGGCCAGTGGACCCCTAGTTTGGGATCTGTACTTATAAAATCACGCACACTTGATTCCTGGGCACGCACACACAAATATCCTGTGTGCTTCTCCCACGTCACAGGCTCCTTTTCTCTCTTATTCATCTTCCCAAAGACACAATCACCACCATTCTCGCCTGTTTCTAACTCTCCACCCTCCAGCTTCCAACCACAGGTTACCATCTAGAAAGGACAGAGGACCAGGACCCCAATGTGCCAGGTGGAGTTTGAGCTGGCCTGCGCTGCTATCAAGCAGCTGAAGGGTCCCGTGAGTGACCAGGAGAAACTGCTGGTGTACAGCTTCTACAAACAGGCCACCGAGGGCGACTGCAACATCCCAGCCCCTCCCGCCTCCGATGTGAAAGCCAAGGCCAAGTGGGAGGCATGGAACGTGAACAAAGGGATGTCCAAGATGGATGCCATGAGGATCTACGTTTCCAAAGTGGAAGAGCTGAAGAAAAAGGAGGCCGGTTAATAACATGCTTGAAGATGGCAGGAAATTGACATAGGTTTCTTAAAAGACTTTGATGGCTGAAATACCCTGACATGGTGGCTAGGTTAGTTGAGACATTAATAAATCACTTGAGCTGCATGAGAGTGACTGTTGTTGGGAAGAAACTCAGGACTCAGTCCTGAGATGTCCAAAGTATATGAGAAGCATCTCTTTTCTTGAGAAAAGTCTATGAAAATGGCTCTTTGTATGGTTTTAGGTGTAATCCTGTTTTCCTATCCCCCAGGCATATGAAACTACCTGGCAGTAGAGGGGCTGGGAAGAAAACTGGGTCATGAAAACACCCAGATTTGAGGTGAGACCATTTTCCAGGGACTCAGCCTCTAGAGAGACTAAGGCCCTTTCCCTTCTCTCTTCAGGGGTTGTTGATTCACCACTAACTCAATACTAGAGGGAAAAGGGGCTCTGTTTTCCAAGAAGCTAAAGTCTGACACAAAGCTCCTCTGGAACACAGACTTTGTGGAAGTTAATGTTTTAAGGGAAGCCCAACTTTTATGAGAAATAATGTGAAGAAATCGATGCATCTCAACACAATGCTGAGAAACAACCGAGCAGATGGCTTAAAAACCCCAGCTTCCAAAGACTTGTCTAAGGGCTAGCAACCAAAATCTTCCCTGGGACTACTCTGTAACTAACCCTGGTTTCTGCTTGGGGCTGTGTGAGGGACAACACATGTGTGTACATATACGTGGGATTCACTGTAAGAGCATGACACACCCTTTTCCTATGCTAGTGCCCAAGGGCCTGAGCCCAGCCTCTGGTTCTTGGTGCCAATGACCACAGAGGTATCGATGCACAATCATCGTGCCCAAGGGCTGTGGTACGGGGCTTCCTAGTACTCTTCCTTGATTAAAAATTATGGGGGCAGCAGGTGGTGTGGTGGTTAAGGGCACTGGACTCCCACATGGCCGACAGGCAATGTGCGAGAAGATACACGTATAAGAGTCCAGGACCTGGCAGCTTGCTTTCTCACTTTCCCTCTCTCTCATTCTGTCCCTCCCTGGTCAAATTTAAATAAATAAATAAAGTTAAATAAAATAATAATTAAAATTATTTTGGGGGAACAGCGGGTGGTATAGTGGTTAAGGCACTAGACTCCAACATGGTTGACTACAGTTCGAGTCCCAGACCCAGCAGCTTGAAAGTCACTCCAGGCGCATGTGCATGTGTGCCCCAAATCCAAGAGAATGGAAAAAGGATAGGGGTGTGGTCATCTCCCCTGGGGAGTGGGGTGATTTCTCGCTTTTGTCTGTCTCTCTGGCCAATGCATGCGCCCTATAGTAAAATAGCTTAAAAAAAATATAATTTGGGGGCTGGCTGGTGGTGCAGTAGTTAAGGCAGCAGGATCCCACATGGTGACTATGCAGTTCAAGTCCCGAAGGCTTGGTAAATGTACCAAGTGTATATGTGCCCAGAATCCTGAAAGGAGACAAAGATGGAAGAGGTTTTGTGGTGTGACTGTCCTTTTTGGGGAGTGTTTTCTAACATTCCCTCTCTTTCTGTCCAGCACATGTGCCCTCTGGTGAATTAAAAAAAAAACAAAACAAAACTGCTGTGACAGATGGTGAAATCAGGTCACCTCCAGTTCATGAGGGACCACTAAACAATAGAAGAACTCTAAAGACTCAGGACACAAGAAATCACACCAGATATCTTCAAGATGGTCTGTCATATGCATGCATGAAGTTGCTATAGGTTTAAGTAAATTACTCAAGACTGACGTATACCCAGAGCACCAAGTCACTAAAGAGCTATCGTGCCTATACACCGGGCAAGAGCCGCACTGTGGAGCAGCAGTGCCGTTCTCTTGTCTTTGGAGAATATTATGAACACATCCTGACGCCTTTAGAACCGTGAACTTGTTTTTTATAAAGAATTATTTTATTGAATTTTATTTATTTTCTTTATTCATTTTAATTTGACCAGAGAGAGAAAGAGAGAAAGAGAGAGAAAGTGAGAAAAAGAGAGAAAGAGAGAGAAGGTGAGAAGGCAAGCCGCCAAGTCCAGGACTCAAAGCTGTGGTCAGCCATGTGGGAGTCCAGCACCCTTAACCATCACGTTAAATGCCGGTCCCTAGGATTGTGAACATTAAATGTGGATAGAAAAAATAATATGAGACCAGCAGGTGGCATAATGGTTACATTGCTGGACTCCTGCGTAGTCAACTGCAGTTTGAGTCCTGGGCCTGGTGGCTTAAAACTCAAAGCCAGACACGTGTGCATGGGTGCCCTAAGTCCCAAGAGAACAGAGAAGGGATTGTGGTGTGGCCTCCCCCTACCCCGGGTGATTTCTCACTTTCTGTCTGTCTCTCCGGTGAGGACACACACCCTATAGCAAATTATCTCTCTTACAAAAAAAAAAAAAAAAAAAAAATCTTGCTCCAGGATGTTGCAAGTCAGGAGCAATAGGTATAGCCATACCATTCTGTAAATCACAAAATTAAACTAAAACTGTATCTTAACTAGGACTACAAAAAATAATTGTAGGGTTACGGAGGCCCAGGTTCCGATCTCAGCCCAGCTGAACAGACGGGGCAGGTAAGAGCATGCTGGTGACCCTGGCTGGTCTGGCGGCTAGGGTGGGGAGTATCACAGTGTGCTAAGACCCTGTTAAAGGGAATCTTTTTCTCATGAAATAAACAAAACAAAACAAAACAAAACAGTGTGCTAAATTTTACGGGAAAAAGGGATAGATGAAAGGCATATTTGTATTTGCTTAAGAAGCGCCTGTGTTGCCGGGCCAGCGCTTTGAGCTCACAATCCTCCTGCCTCAGCCTCCAGGGCCGCTGAGATTACAGGTGCACGCCAGCATCTGGTTAACTGTAAGAGGCAGCCAGGATAAGATTGAATGGGATGGGGCAATGGCCAAACTTGTTCTAGAACAAACAGAGAAACCTCTCGTTAACTTTAGCATGAATGTTAGTGGATATGCTGGAGGCCTTCTGACCACTCTAGCTGCTAAACCACAATGGCGCTGTGTGACAGGTGGGCAGAAAGTCAGATAAAGGGGCAGCGGGGGCCCAGCTGTGGTGATGTGCTCTGCTAAGATACTGTGTGACCTGAACACCAGGGGCCATCGTGCATGCCTGTAATCTGTATGAATCCAAGAGGCTGAGGCAGGTGTATTGCAAACTGAGGCTGCCTTGGGCAACATGGCACCCTGTCCAAAAAAGAGGTGCCACATGCCTATAATTCCAGCTTGGAGGCTCAGGCCGGAGGATAATAAAAGCAATACCCTGAATTTTTTTTAAATATAAAAACATTAAGTAAATATCTACGGCTTTGTAAACGTCACCAAGATATCAGGCAGACATGGATTCATATAGCTCATTCTCAGGCAAACCTAGGAGGACACGTGCAACATGGTCATTCGAACTCTGGGTTTAAACTCCAGGCACACTTAAGATGCTAGGACTCCACACTCGCTCAATTAAAAACATCACGACTACAGTATTCTGAAAACACAAGTCAGGAGAAACTGAAGGGTCTTTCTTCTAACTTTGGCTATTTAAAAACACTAACATGGGGACCAGCAGTTAGCGTAATGGCTATGTCGCTGGATTCCCACGTAGTCGACCGCAGTTCGTGTCCCAGACCCGGTGGCTTAAAACTCACACCGGGCATGTGTGCGTGTGTGCCCAAGATCCTGAGAGGAGAATGGAGGAGAGGGGATTGCGGCGTGGCCATCCCCCCTGGGGGGTGATTTCCTGCTTTCTGTCTCTCGCTCTGTCTGGTGAGTGCACGCGCCCTATAGCAAAAACCTTTCAAAAAAAAAAAAGGACCCACTAATATGGTGGGACCAGCAGATGGTGTGATGGTGGAGGCGCTGGACTCGCATGTGGCGGAGTGAGCTTTGAGTCCCGGACCTGGTAGCTTGCTTTCCCACTTTCTTGCTCTCTGTTTCTCTGTCTGTCTAGGGTAAGGGCATGTGTCCTATACTAAATGGAAAAATAGTAACGATGATAATTAAAATTAAATCTTTTTTTAAAAAAATGAAAATGGGTAAAACCATGTCTTATAACCTCATTTTCTTTACTTTTTTTTTTTTTTAAAAAAGAACTATTTTATTTATGTATTTACTAATTTTAATTTGACCAGAGAAGAACAAAGCAAGAGAGAAAAAGAGAACAAGCTGCCAGGTGCAGGACTCGAACTGAGGTCAGCCATGTAGGAGTCCAGTACCCTTAACCACCATGCCACCTGCTGCCCCCATCTTTACTTTTTTTTTTTAATGTTTAGGATATTTTATTAAAGTATAAAATTGTTGAGAAATAACGGGAACCAGCAGTTAGCGTAATGGCTATGTCGCTGGACTCCCACGTAGTCGACCGCGGTTTGCGTCCCAGACCCGGTGGCTTAAAACTCATGCCGGGCGCGTGTGCGTGCGTGGCCAAGATCCCAGGAGGAGAATGGAGGAGAAGGGATTGCGGTGTGACCATCCCCTCTGGGGGGTGATTTCTCGCTTTCTGTCTCTATGTCTCTCTCTGTCTGTCTGGCGAGCGCACGCGCCCTATAGCAAAAACCTCTCCAAAAAAAAAAAAATTGTTGAGAAATAAGATAAATAGAAAACCAAAGTAAATATTTACCAAAACACTGATAATACTACTCAAGTCACACACACATAATAATGCAGAGGAGACTTTAAAAGTTTATAAGAGGGGCCAGCAGGTTGCATGGTGTTTAGGGCACTGGACTCCCACATGAGTGACCATGGTTCAGGTCCTGGACCTGACAGCTTGAAAATCACGCTGAGTGTATGTGCATGCATGCCCAGGAAAATGGAAAAAGGACTGTGTGCATAGCCATCCCCCTAGAGGATGATTTCTCACTTTTCCTCTCTCTCCTCAGTGAGTGCACGCGCCCTGTGGCCACAACCCTTAAAAAAAAAAAAAGCCAAGGGGCCAGCAGGTGGTGTGGTGGTTAAAGGCACTGGATTTCCACATGGCCAGCTACAGTTCGAGTCCCAGACCTGGTGGCTTGCTTTCTTGCTTCCTTTTCTCTCTGATTCTCTCTGGTCAAATAAAATAATAATAAAAACAACAAATGGAATTAAATAAATAAGTAATTTTTTTCCAAAAGATTGTCTTTTTTTTTTTTTAATTTCAACTTCATTTAATTTTTTGACCAGATAGGACAGAGTGAGAGAGAGAGAGAGGGAGGGAGGGAGAGAAGGAGGGAGAGAGAGGGAAAGTAAGAAAGCAAGCCGCTAGGTCTGGGACTCGAACCGCAGTCAGCCATGTGAGAGTCCAGTGCCCTTAATCATCACGCCACTTGCCAGACCCAATAAATAATCTTTATTTAAAAAATAATTATTTATTTAATTTTATTTATTCATCCATTTATTTTAATTTGACCAGAGAGAGACAGAGAGAGAGAGAGAGGAAGTGAAAAAGCAAGCCACCAGGTCCAGGACTTGAACTGTGGTCGGCCATGTGGGAGTGTCCAGCGCCTTAACCACCACGCCACCCGCTGGTCCCAATAATCTTAAAAAAAAAAAAAAAAGGCCAAATATGTACACTAAATTGCTTCAGGATGAATATTAAAGATTACAACAAAGGGGCCAGCCAGTGGTGTGGTGTTTACAATAGCTGGATCCCATATGGTCAATTCTGTGGATCAAGTCTTGGGCCAGTAGCCTGAAAATCATGCCGGGTGCATGTGCATGAGTGCATACCCAAAATTCTGAGAGGAGGAAGAAATGAGGAGGGACTGCATGACTCTTCCCATGGGAGAGTATTTTCTCCCTTTCCCTCTCTCCGGCAAGTGCACTGTCCTCTGGCACATTTAAAAGGTTGAAACAAAGGAAATCCTGACAGGTAGGGTAAAAAGGAGACTGATCTCCTAAAGCCAATATTCCAGGTGGATAAACGGTGTTACTGTCTATCCTGCAGGCAAAGTTGTTCATTTTAAGAGAAAAACATTTTGGTAGGTTAAATCATAAGGTAAGCTGATAAAGGAGAAACTGGAATGTGTTATTTAGTCATTCGGAACTTATATAAACCATTTATTTTACTCTTTCACATGTAGATGGCTACAATATAGCAGCTTAACACATTGGGTAAGTAGTTTCTTTCCAGGAGAACAGTATTATTAGAGAGAGACATAGCAAGAATTTAACAACCTACTAGAAAATCTGAGAATAAACAAATCATAATTTAAAAGAGATACACTTTACATGTTTATTCAAAGTTTACATGAAGGACCAGCTAGGTGGTATGGTGGTTAAGGCAGCTGGATACCACATGGCCAATAGTTCTAGTCCTAGACCTGGTAGCTTCAAAAACATACTGGGTGGGTGTGCCTGCACACCCAAAATCTCACAAGGAGGAGAATGGAGAAGGGATTACAGTGTAGCCAGAATGGAGAAGGGATTTCAACCTGGTCATCACCCCCAGGAGGTGATATCTCAACGCCCTCCCCCTTTTCTCCCCCTATAGGGCACGTGCGCTCGCCAGAAAGACAGAGAGAGACAGAGAGACAGAAAACAAGAAATCACCTCCCAGGGAGGATAACCATGCCACAATCCCTTCTACTCCATTCTCCTCTTAGGATCTTGGGCGCGCGCGCGTACACACACACACACACACGCCTGGCTTGAGTTTAAGCCACCAGGTCCGGAACTCAACCACAATGGGAGCTCAGCGACATAGCCATTACACCAACTGCTGGTCCTGAACTTCCCCCTTTCTCTGCTTCTCTCTGGTGAAAGCACAGGCCGTATAGCAAAACTTAAAAAAAAGAAAAAGAAAAAGAAAATTATGTGATAATTTCT